AACGTAACGTAACGTAACGTAACGTAACGAACGAACGAACGAGAACGAGACGAAGAGAGAGAGAGAGAGAGAGAGAGAGAGAAAGAGAAGAGAGAGAGAGAGAGAGAGGGGGAGTACTCAAAAGCGAGAAGAAACATATATTCACATCCTCAACAACAAAAGCTGAGAGGAACAAAAATCAGGACACGGAGGTGCAAAAACTTGAGAGAGAAATGTACAGCAGTGAAGAGAGAGACTGAGTCAAAAGACAAAAACTAAGAGAGAGAAAAAGTAGATACCAACCCAAAGAAAAAGTTTACATAACAACGCCACCTTATGATGTAGAACTACGGATCTCCCTCAAAATAAATCCATTCCATATAAAAAGGTGGATTTAATGTTGAAAATCCCTCGACATCAACACATATGACTATAAAAAATAAAAAAAATTGAAGCGTTGTACAATATATTTTTTACACCGATTATGATCAAGATTTTTTTATGTTTTTAAATCTGTTTAATTTTATTATTTTTAAAATAAAAAATTTTATACTTAAATATAAAAATAAATTTTAAAATAATCTTAAAAATATTTTACATCAAAATTATATACTAAGATAAAATTTAATGGTGCACCTTACCTCTCTACCTACGGATGCCAACCTTTTAAAAATTATAAACCCAACATTCAACAAGAAACGTTATCGATGAGAGGGAAGAGAGAGATAGTCAAGAGACTGAACAAAAAATTAAGAGAGAGAAAGAGTAGATAAAAACCCAACGATAAACGTTGTCAATGAGAGGGAAGAGACGTGAAGAGATTGATAGGCAAAAAGGAAGGTGACGAGGGGCCAAAACTAATCAAGAGAGAGAAATGGCCAAAAATTATTGAGGAGAGAGAAGAGACATGAAGAGAGAGAATGCAGAAGAATGATTAATAAGGAAAGAGTACTTAGAGAGAGAAAGGCAGGAAAAAAATGACTACAAAGGACAGAGAGGCCAATAAAAAGCAGAGAGAAGAAAGAAAGGACGCGGAGAAAAAAAAGGCAAAAACTTAGATACGAAGAGAGAATTGGTTTGAAATAGGTAAAGAGATCATTTATTTTTAATTCAAACAAGTTACAAATATTTTCATTTGCTAGATTTTAAATTGGATGCTTGTAAGTGTGTTATTTATTATATTAAAGTTTAAAGAGTTTTTTTTAATTTTGTGATACACTCAAACAGTCTAGTTTAACGTATAGTGATTATAAGTGATTGAGATTGCCTTGTAACAATGTTAAATGATTTCATAGTGTACAATCTCATAAAAGAAAAGCAGCATTGGCTCACTTGACATTGTAAACCTGTATTTCAAATCTCATCAAAAATTTAAATTTTGTATTGAAAAACCCTAAATTTGATTATTTCAACCTCGATAGTTACATATATCAAAAAATAATTTTAAAGTCTTGAAATAGAGTATCTTGTAATACATTATCTTTGTAGATCTAGTCAATTTGCAAACATGGACCTTGAGAAAATGGAACTCCTTAGATCCCATTCTCAATTACCCTACCCCGTAATGGTAGGGGTGCAAGTTGGGCTAGGTCCATCCTGTAGCCCATTTGATCGAGCCGACCTGGGTTTGAGTCTAGATTCAAAAAGTGGCCCCATAGGTCAGATCCAAGTCAAACAAATACTCATCCCGACCTAGATATACGCGACTCAACCCGATTGATCTGACCAAGTAGGTCTGGCTGAAAATTGATCGATTTGGGAATTGGCTAGGTCTAGTCTAGCGTAGACACGACAATTTCACCATTGCAAGGAAGTTGATCGATAGGTCCGATCCAAGTCCAATAAATGTGAACCAGACTAACCCACCGATCTGACCGACCAGATCAGCTCTAAAATTAATAGATTGGGGAACTAACTAGGTCTGATCCGGCCTGGACCCGACAACTTCACCTTTGGCATAGTTAAGATGGCTTCTTATGATAATCTTATCATATTTAAGGGCATTATCTGTAATTGTTAGTCAAAGAGGAACCATTGGTTCCAGCTATTTTGGTAATAAAATGTTTTTGTTTGGCAAAAAAAAAACATGATGGAAAGTAAAACTTTATTAGTATTTATTAAATAATAAAGACCAGGTCAATAAATAAATATGGGTTTTATAAAGGTTGCAAACTTAAGCAAGTTAATTAAGGTGCACCTCCTAATTTTGGTGTAAAAAATTCTTATGATTATCTAAAAATTTATTTTTATCTCTAATTATAAAATTTTAAACTTCAAAAATGGTTCAAATCAAGTAGATTTATAAACATATGAAAATCTTGAAAATGGATGCTCTAGATATTATGTGCAAGATGACCTATTTTTGAGACTCAAAACAATTATTTATTTTTTTCATATTCGTACATCTCGATATTGAGATGATCATTTAAAGAGTTTTTCAACATTAAAATAACATTTTCTGATGGATATTTTAGGCGCATCTTTAGTTCTCTATTTTAAGGTAGCTACCTTATATAAACTTTTTCCAATAAATGTATAAGAGTGTGGCTTGTGTAAGGCCAAGGCTCTAAACAATCAAAATAGAGCGCACATGTAAATAGTATTGAAATATGTTGTTTTAATATTAAAAATCTTTATGATAGCCAGAAAATTTATTTTTATCTATAATAATTAAATTAAAAATTTAATAATAGTATATATCGAGCAGATTTATGAACACTTGAAAATTGATGGTCTAGATAATACATTACAAGTTGCACTATTTTGAATACTTGAAAACTTTTTTTCTCATGATCGAATTGAAGATTTTTCAACATCAAAACAATCTTTTTTAATTAATTTTTGAGGTGCATTTGATTGTTTAGAACTTCGTACTTAAATAAATTTTTTTTGATGAATAAAAAAAATAAACACTTTTGAGGGGGAAGGGTTAAAACCTAAAGAAAAATGAACAACGTGGTCCATCGAGATCGGTGGATTTTAAAAGTTTTCTCTCGCTTTTTCTCGAGAGTAACAAAAAATTTTTCTCTCATACTTACTATACAAATTCCATGATTTTTTAGGAACCTTAATAGATTAAATTAAGTGGTCAAATGCCATAGTTAGGTTGGAGTTGGCCAAAGAATAATGATTCATGGAGCACCTTAAACTACCTCGTCATTTCTCTCTCTCTCTTCCTGATATATGACTCTACGTAGCACCCACCCCTCTCTCTCTCTCCATGGTCTATGTAGTACCTCTCTTTTTTTCTCTTTTCATGGTGTAGAGTTCTCGAGAACTTCTAACTTGCGGAACCAAGAATCTCAAAACCTTAATAAATTAAATTAAGTGGTCAAATGTTAGGTTGAAGTTGGCCAAAGAATGATTCATGGAGCACATTAAACTACCTCGTCATTTCTCTCTCTCTCATCCTTACCTATGACTCTACGCAGCACCCCTCTCTCTCTCTCTCTTCATGGTCTATATAGTACCTCTCTCTTTTTCTCTTTTCATGGTGTAGAGTTTTCGAGAACTTTTAGCTTGCGGAATAAAGAATCTCAAATACTGGGATCCCACTCAATATCATGTACACAATTGGTTAACTTCAAAGTAGATGGATATAACTAGAAACCGAGTGTAAAAAAAAAAAGCAAACATTGAGAAGCACACCACCACAATACATGATTTACATGGTCCATCCGATAAGACTACATCCACGGCTTCAGCAAATAGAATTTCACTATAACAATAAATATTACGGTTTTAAGTTATAAAAAATATATTTTTAATATTTTGATAAAAATATAGATATAATGATTTTGACTATCACAAAATCTAATATCTCTCTTAATGCTTTTATATCACTCTCTCTTTCAAGATCTATGTAGCACCCTAAGCTCTCTCTCTCTCTGTGGAACCTTAGCATCTCTCTCTTCATGATCGAGGTTGCACCTTAAGCGCTTCCTTATTACTTAAATGGACAAGCCTCTCTTTCTTTCTCTCTCTATTTATGTAGCACCCCAACTACTTCCTAATCTTTCTTTCTCTCTCTATTTATGTAGCACCCCAAGTATTAAGTAAATAACAATAAATGAGGGTAGCTGAGTGTGAAAAATCTGTCCAAGCGTCTCTCTCTCTCTCTTACACCGTCAACACATACACCTACAATGACAATCAAATAATGAATGCAGGTGACCTATGTTTAGTGTTCTCTTTTCTCTCTCTCTCTCTCATAATTTTTGGGATGGGTCATGAATTTGATGGTGCCCTGAGTCATGATTTTGACGGTGCCCTGATCATGGTTAAGTAGTGCCTTAGGTAGGCTTGCTTTTACCTCTTTTTTTAGCCAATGTTACAAAAATCATCGAACCGATTCAGAATCGATCTAGAGGGTTATGAAGCATTAGATTTTTTATTGTTTTTTTTTTTATTATTTACCTATCGTTACCCATCTGTTGCCAATTCTGCCTAAAATTTGAGCCTTAGACCCCAAAAGGAAATTTTGTCAAAAATCTAACAGAATATTATGTTTTCGCCATTTTGGACTGGATCAGCTGGAAAAGGCGAGCCGACTGTGTTTGCCTGTGCTCGAGTCAGCACCGCATTCATTATTTAAATATTAAAACACTGCTCATGACAACCATCATCTCACGTTTACTTTAACAAAGAGAGAGGTTATTAGGTAAGCATTGAGCTGGGTTTGGGAATTCCCTTGCCGTTCTTTCGCATCCCCTTCCATTGTGGAATGAGTCAGGAACAAGGCTACAGTTCGTCATATTTATTTACAAGTTTATATTTTATAATTTCTCTCTCTATCTCAACAATTTGTTCATACTCCCTCTGTGCAATTTGTTCATAATCTCTCTCTCTCTCTCTCTCTTTGAAATTTATAATCTCTTTACAATCTGTTCATAATCTCTCGCTCTCAATAAAAGAGAGTTTGAGAAAGAATGTCATCTAATACAGCACAGGAGATTTTCAAAATCTAGGGTGAAAATTTAGAGAAACAGAAACAAAATTTTTCGATTTTTTTTTTTTTGGGCACAATGTTTTTAAAATATTTAGGAGAGATAAGAGAGAGAAATATGTCGGGGAATGAGCATTTTCATGTCTTTTACCTTTTTTCAATACCCTTATAGGTGCAAGGCCTATACTATGCCCAATCGTTTCCAAAGACAATTAGAGTTTGCCGTGATTAATGACTCGGATTGATTTGGGATTTGGAGTCTACAGTTCCAAAGGATTTTGAAATAGAAAATCACCTAGAGTTGAACTGAACCAAAGTGATTCGGCGTAATGGTGATTTGCTAGATAGTTCCTTCCTTCTCAGATTTTTTTGTCAGTTTAGGGCTTTGAGCACTATTTTTCTGAATCTGTACCTCAAATTTGACTCCTATACCCATTTGTCCATCTTTTTAGGTCAATAAAAGATTTTTTGCATTTTTTAGATAATTTTTTCCTTATTTTGGGGGAATTTATGAGCCAACTTGGAAATGCCATGCCATGTCCGAGTCGATACCCGATTCTATTATTTTTGTTTTCCCTATCTTTTGGGGGGATGGAGAGACCTATCTTTTGGGGGGATGGAGAGAGAGAGATTTACATTTTTATCTATATTTATATATCTTTAAATCGTCTTAGTACATCTTTGGATCAATAACTTTTACTAAACTTGATCGTATATTATTTACTAATCACATACAAAAATCGAATACTAATTTAATATTTGTCAATTATTTACTAAAATTGATATCCTTAGTCATTAATATTATAAAAATATTCATAATGGATTAACCCCAGATTTGCAGTTGCTCCAAAATACTGTATTGAATTTTTATTAAGTTTCAAAGTCGGTGTGCTCACCCTTTGAAGGGGTCCAAGTCTTTCATGCATTCTATGTTGCCTTCTTGGAAGTGATGTTCTTTGGAATTACTTGGGGAAATGGCTCTCTCCCTCCCTCTCTCCTCTGAATATTTGCTTGAAAAGGATAAAGATTTTATAAGTTGTATAAGTCCAATGGCTCAGATTGAGGAAGATGGGACGATGTTGAAGACGGAGGAGTTTAATATTTCTTTTATACTGGCACACATGTAAACATCTTGGGTTCCAAAGCCTCCTACTTTTTTGAGAAATCGTATTTCTATAGGCTGATAGCTGGAGGAAAAACAGTATTAATTGTAAAAATGATCTATTTTTCTAACCTGAAGAATAATTTAAATTTGCACTTCTATTTAGACTGATCATTTTAATTCTTCAATTTCATTCTTCGAAGATCATGAAAATCAGAAAAAAAAATTCAGAGCTTCAAATTCCTATATCTGAGGGAGCCTCGGATTTACAGTGATTTGTGGTGTGTTTCAAGTCCCGAATCCTTTTAAAAACAAGGCATAAGTTGGCCAATTCGTCAAATACTTTTTCCTTTTTGAATCGGCAGGGAGCTGACTCGCAACATTTTAAGTACTTTGAACCACACAAATTAATGGTAGATTATAAATGTTCAAGCATTGAATGAATCTGAACCGCATTTGAATCTTGCAGTCAACTTTGTCACACTGATCTTTAATGGCTTCATAAAAATTTCAGGCCACTGCTGGCTCGGAACAAGCTTGAAAATATTTCGGATCTACCAAGCACGGACCTGGCGCACCTTGCACGCCTTAACATGTGGCCTGAACTTGGCACGAAACCGAGCCAGGCCCAAAAGCCCGTAGGTTGGCCCGAGCCTGTTAACAAACCTGATTAAGCCTCGTAAACTCAAAAGGGTGAAACTGTAGCTACATTTGCCTTCTTTACAAAAAATTCTCAATCACCCTGTGGTCAAATGTGAAATCAAGCAGCTCATGCTCTATCATTCTTCCACAAGTTTCAAAAAGTTTCTCTTACAATTTAAGGGTTAATTATACGACTTTAGGTACTTAATTAATTTTATATTTAATTGACAGATAAAAGTGATTGTAATCATATACTAAAATAAATGTACTTATTTTCGTAAAACATTTTAGAACGAGGCCCAAGTAAAATTTATCATAAAGACACTAAGGTCTAGAACCCCAGGTACTTAGTATTGTGACAGTTTCAACAAACTTTTGTTTATTCTGGCTCTTAAAAACTCAGTATCTTTTTATTAATATTATTAAAAGGGTTTGTATACTACGAGACCGATTATTTTGATACAAAGAGGTCATAATCACTTTTAGTCGAAATCCAATAGGTGAAAGTGTCACAACATTCGAAAAATTTTATTTTGAGAGATTTGTGCCCAAACAATGATACATCCTCAGCCACTTGATTTCAGATCTAATGATGATTGTGAGTTCGTGGCCTCCATCTACCAAAAATAAATGGTCTCAATGTATGTATTTTCTTATTAAAAAGAACATTTAAGATAATTGTAACCCATGTTATTCTAGAATATATACTAAACTTTAACCTTAAAGTTAGTGGCTTGACTTTCCCCAATGTAACTGAACAAGAATGGCTTCCAATTAGACTTTACAAACTTTCCAAGGATCACAGTTTGAAAGCTTTGTATTTACAAACAGCTTAATCAGTCACAAAGGAACAAAGCAAAACATTATCTTTTCCCCAACTACAAAAGCACAATATTTTCTTCATTGTTTTCGCAATAACTGGCAGAAGGAAAAATCATACGTCTCGAACCTTGAGCTTGGTCTCGGGGTGTGGATGAGAAGGCTTTGTTGGGCTTAGAGGGTGAGAACCGAATTTGTGAACCAAACGCTTGAAACAGGGCAAGAAAGCCACATATAATCCACAGAAAATGAAGGGCGATGCAACCAACCAGCCCAGCAACTGACAGAGAGATCACATAACATGATATCTGATTCAGAAATTTAATGCTTTGTACATATGGGGTTTGAGAGGATTTATATAAATATATATGAAAAAAATAGACTATTGTTTTTCTCATAAAACGGGGTTAAGGAGGATGGACATTAAAAATGGAATTTGTTCTAGAAATCGTTACTACAACTGCTGCTAAACTTGGAAAGCAGTCCAAGAGAGCAATTTATCTCACAGAAAATACCCTATATATTTCAGAAGAGTCTCTCTCTCTCACACACATACAGCCCACCCACCAACACATAAGGTGGAAAAAAAATAAGACGGAAAACTCATTATGGATAAAACATTTTCAATTTCGTCTTATCCATCCCCTTCCTCTTTCTTTTTTTTTGGAATCTCATCCACTTCCTCTTTCTCGTACACCCAAATATTTTTAGGAAAATTTATCAAAATACACCTAACTTTTCGACTATATAATGTTTTACACATTTTCAACTATTCCAACTCATGTGCATATTTATGAAATTTTTGAAACTAAATAGAACATCTGGGTAAAATATTAAAATAATTCATCTCTTAGGTCATCACATCCGCATGGATATGGACAGCAGGATTATTAAGTTATCTGCATACTTCAAAAGGTTGAGTATAATAAAGTATTTACCACTGTTTTAAAAACTGGCAAACCAGATCGGACTAGATCAAACCGGGAATCGGTCGGGCCGGTCCAGTTCAGCCAAAGTATTGGGAACCAGCCCGTTCATGACTGAACTGGTCCCACTTTAATTTTTTAATATATATATTTTTGTTGCATAATTTTTTTAAAATCTTTTTATTGGCCGGTTTACTCGGCCAGATCACTGATCCAGACCACTTTTCCAGATGGGCAATGCAGGTCACTATCCATGCTTTTAAACCTTGGTATATAACAAAACAGGTTGTTCCATAATATTACAGAAACCAGCAACAGTTCTATATTTTTTCCCAACTAAGGCATTTTGGAAAAATAATTTCAAACCAGTGGCATTTCTTTAGTTTTGTGTATTGGTTTTAAATCATAGAAGGAGAGGTTTACCGCATGGGAAATGCTGATCAAAACGTCACGTGAAGCTTTCCCTGTGATAACCTTCCAAAAGGCATCTGAGTTCAGTGGGAAATGAGAGCCCCCTGTTATAACCTCACCACAACGCAGGAATGGAACCACCAAACTTGAGAGAAAATGAGAGAAAAGTTAGCTATGGTTGTAAACATATATAACTTACATCCAATCAGTGGTTTAAAACAAGGACTCGGGTTGGGACTCGCTAGGGTCCTAAGCATGAGTTAGAGACTCGTCCAAGTCCTAATAAAAGAATAAAACACAGTGAGAATCGGCCAGACTTGGCCAGTTCCCATGGGCTTGATATTGGACTTGGCAGCCTGTGCCCAAGTAATTGAGGAAGTCTGAGTTGGACTCACCATGTTTGCTTTCACTGCACGCAATGAACTGCATGCATTAAATGACATGCATGAATGCATGCAGGCATGCATAAATACAAACACATAAAGAGACAAACAGTGCATAAGCAAGACAAATGGAAAGCATTGAATGAAACTTGACTAAGATAAATTATTTGCACAAGTACCAAACTGAGGAAGGGAGGGAGAAACCACCTTTTACTCATGAATTTCCATGCAATGAAACTTCTGAGCTAACTGAACACTAAGCATGAGCACACACATTACATGTTCCCATTAGTTCAGCTTCATCCGCAATTTCCTCTCACCTTTTTATTTTTTTTAATTGTTAAGTTTAATTTTCTCATACTTCCTCTGTTACTCAACTGAGGAAGGGAGGAATGGAGGGAGATGCCTTCTTCTAGCTATGGTCCCTCTTAAAGACATCGTAAAAAGCTTCGTTCGAGGCTAAGAGATGGAGAGTTTCCTTGCTGAAACCATATTTCCTCTCAAAGCTTACATACACAAAAGTGATGAGTGAGAATCTCATAAATTGGGTGATGGACATGTATCCTAGTTGTATACCTAGTATCCATAATAATTTCTCCTTTGAAAACAGAGGCTTTAGGATTACTAAGGCTGTAGGATAATAGGATTTCAATGAATCAATGTTATGAATCCAAAGACGAGAACAATTAAGCTGGAAAACATTTATTTTATCTAGCAAATCAGCCTTTTACCAAGGAAAAGGTTCGGCGTTAGTGTCAGGTTGTCAGTTTCTCAAGTGGACCCCCTGGCCTATGCAGGTGGAATCCTACTGCCCTGCACGGCGACTGTCTTTTAAAACATGACCTGCTGCACAATTAATCTTGACCCTTTTCCAAAACTCACATATTGTTCTTTGATAATGTAAATCCAATATCTCTTAACTTTTATGCAAATATTTATGTTTGAGTAAGTGTAATCCACATTAATTAAACAACTCTATAATACAAAAGGAAGTGGATTCCCATGTATAGATTCTAGAAGTTAGAAACAATCCAATCAATACAAGATTTTAGCAGGTATACCCTATGCAGTTGGGTGCTCTCTCTTGGGAAAGCTTGATATTTCATAAGTTAACTTGCGTGCTTATCTTAAAAAGTTATTACCATTCATGAGTGTGGCATTTTACTTCCACCCTTCTGTTCACTTCTTTACCTTCAATTTTCACATAAATTATGTGCCTATGGTATTAAGTTATAAGCAATAAGGATTGGTCTTGAAATTTAGTATTAGCTGGATGCTTCGATTAAATAGACACAAATAATTGACATATAATTATTCTATCTTGACATATATACGTAACTAGCATTCCCATAGTTCATTTAGAGAAATAAACTACTTGCTATTATCCATATCACAGGAAAAAGAGAAGGTTTTCCAGGTTCAAATATGACCAACAACCATATTCACCTTTTCTTAATTTCTACAACAGTCCAAATTTAAGTATGAAAGGGAAAATCAACCCATACTCATGACTGATTAATGGAACTAAACAAAATTGGAGAGGAAAATCACCTTAGCTCTATTGGAGTGGCAACAAAGTTGGCAAGCATCAGAGTTGGAGCATGACAAAGAGATCCAAGCAGAGTGATTGCAATTCCACAAAGGAAAACGGTAATACCTAACCGTCAAAGTCAGATCTGGAACTGTAAGATGCACATATTTCTAGAGTGCTTTGAGAAATCACACTAAAATGAAAGACTATAAAGAAAAATAAAATAATGAATGAAGAACAAACTCTGAATGCATAACTAAAGTTTTAAAACATGATAATCATATGCTAGATATTCTACGATGATTGAATGCTGTCAGTGTCTCAGTGATACACAGTTTTTAGTGTATTAATTCATATTTAAATAAGAAAATTCAAAATAGTAATTTATTATCTATTTTCATGTATTAATAACCTTTGATTGTCGATTGGACAGAGTATTATTCTTTTACCATAAAAAACAGAAGATTTGCTTGTCCAATTTTTTTGTACAATACACATGTGTGCATGTGCCTAAGAACATAAACAATTAATAACCACCCCAAAAAAAAAAAAAAACAACAATCAGTAACAAAAGCTTGAACAGTTATAAATTCTAAATCTGCTATTTGGTGCATACAAGATGATCGTAAACTTTCAAAAATCTCTCTTTAAAGCTTCCTTCTTACTTTTTATATATTTTACTCTTCATTTTCTCCCAGTTTTAATGTTGACAAAGTTTTTCCAAAATGATATAAACATTTTTGCGGATAAAAAAGGAAGAACAAACAATAAAAAGCGTTTCTTGAAAAGCCTGAAATCTGAATAAAGCACTTTCTTTCTTTTTTCTTTTTTAGTGAAATTTATCAAAATGCACCTAACTTTTCAACAATTTCACAGTTTAACCTTTTTCAACTATTTTTTTGAGAATGTTAATCTACCTTTTACAACTATTCCAACTCATCGTCATGTTTATTTTGATAGCTATTTTGAAATAAAATCAAAGGATATGGGTCAGTGTCTGGCAGCCAGTGTAAAATTTTTGCCACATCTATCTTATGATGATAAAGGTCAGCGTTTGGAAGATTGCCTCAGACAAACAGCTTAGAAAAATTTAAAAAGTAAGCACTAAAAAATGTGAAAAATATAATAAAGGTAATAAAAGTAAAATAAAAGTGAAAACAACCTTCAAAAGTCCAAATATGCTTAGAAAAGTACAGAAAAATAGACCACAAAATGATTTATCGTTGGGGACATTTAAAAAAAAAATCCAAAAAAAAAGGAAATATAGAAGCAAGCATTATGGCAAAAAGCACTCACCAATCCATGCCAAAAACATCCAACTCATTTAAAAAAATGTATACAACATACCTCCAAATCTTTGACAATCTTTTTGGAATTTTGAAATTCTTTTATGTACCTCGAGTTGTACAACTGCAAACAACTCACAGTAACTCGGGCGAGACCGAGTGACTCATCCGAGTCTGAGTGAACTGGGCGAATCCCGTAACACTGATATGGGTAAAATGGTAATTCCTTTTTCTTGGTGGTAGCTTTAGCATGGTTGTCATAAGAGGGCACACTTCAAGGTCTGAACCCTTGGCATTCCTTGTAACTGGGTCTCACACTACTCAATCAAACATCACAGGCCAAATCCATATTTTCCTCTTCAAAACTCAATCACCGGCTAAAATGAAAAAAATTCCAAGAAATTGGACATTCATATGTACCATGAGCTCTGTCACTAAAACCTGATTGGCCACCAGCTTGGTGAGGGTAACAGTTTAATTAGACCAAACGGACTCTACTTTGAAAGAAACTAATTTCCTAAATATTAATTGTGATTATGCAGAAAACTAATGCAAATATAGAAAAAGAAAGACATAATACATGCATTTATATTGGCATAGTTGTGGAAATCCATTGGCAAATAGAAGGGTCATGCTTTGCTTCCTCACCCTATCTGCCTCTTGTATCCCAAGCTGCCTTTGAGAGATGAAAAATCTCAGCATAGAGAAAAAACAACTGTTCAACTGGATGGTTCAAAGTGGCAGGACCCAAGCACTGCCTCCACAAAGGCAAGCTCTAATCAGAGAAGATGCTTGTATTGGGACAAAAAACAACAGAGAGTTTAGCCAAAGCTTCTTAACATTCATCATGTCATTATTTTGGACCCCTTAGACCACGTGTTCATGTCTCTCTACTCCATTTATTTTCCATACCATTTCTTAGAGCAGTACAATAAAGTTTCTTATAATATAGAGATCTCAGTACCCCATTGCAGTGATTTAAAACTCGGTGAGTCCAAGGGGGACTCACCAGAGTTACATTTACTTGGGAGGCTGCTGAATCTAGAACAAAAACCTTAAGAATCAGAGGAGTCTTGTTCCCGAGGTTTAATTGTTAAATTTTTAAAGACTTGACCGAGTCTCTGACAGACTTAGCTGTGTCAAGTTTCCTGATCGGGACCCCAGCGAGCCCCAGCCCAAGTCCTTGGTTTCGAACACTGCCCCATAGAACTGGATGATCGTAACTACCCCATGAAGTAGGTTTTTGCCCACCACCGGCTCGGTGGTTTTTGTATAAAGCTCCCAAGTTGTGAATAGCCATATTTTGCATATATGTACACTAACTTCTCTTAATGCAAAGTCAACATATTCAAAAAGAAAACACTGCACCATGAAGTAATTCATTGCGACAACACAATCAGTAAAGTTGAATCTCCTTAGTTTCCGATAATACAATTATAAATTGATTTATTAGTTCCAATTGTAGATATACATGATAAACTCAGAAACACCAAACACAAGTATAGCACATACCACAAATAGGAAATGTGCCTAAGGTCAGGCCAAGTGCTGCAGAAAAAGCCAGTTGCTTCGGTTCCGTACCCCTACAAATAACCAGGTTAAATCAGACGTGGAGTTTTCAGTGGCCAAATAGAAACACCATAGTACTAAGTGAATTGAGAAAGCTATAGGTAATTTATATTTTACTCTTTTTATTTTTATTTTATTTTTACAGCTTCAACCTTCAAATGAGTAGTACAAAAAACTTACATATTCTTACTTTTAATGGAACATAATTTTGATAATGGAAAATAGTGCCTTCCTTGTATGATTCCCTCTTCCATGTGACTACTCTCTCTCTCTGTATGGGGATAGAGATGGAGGAAATTGCAAGTTTGCATAGCTTTATTTGCCTATAAAATCATAAAAGTTGGCAGAAAATCCAATTCTCTTAGTTTCTAATCTACCTTTTTCATGGATTCCCAGTAATTTCTTTTCTATTTAATCTCAAAAACAACAGACTACAATCCCCACACTAAAATGACAAGGGAAAAAACTGCAATTTACATGACAACCAGTCTTCATATTCAAATTCAAGCAAAAAAATTGCAAGCAACAAAAAAATTAAACTATTCAAAAAAGAATTAAGCAGAATGAATTCTATCGTTTGGATAGAACCACTATCACCAATTTTCAAATAATCCTCAATTTTCAAAATAATTGCAAAACTAAATTACCCAAAAAAGATAACAAAGAGCACTGGTTTCAATTAATTTTCATGAATTGAAATTTCTAGTTCAGACCATGAGACTGGGAACTCAGTAAAGGCTTTCGAAACAAAACTACCTTTGAAGTATCTGCAGAAAAGGATCAATTATCTTCACATTAAGCCATGTCTTCAGACTCGTCCTCGAAATCGCCATGATTTCCTTCTACCAAAACTCGAGATCTCTGATTAAGCAACAACCCACAGCCATTCGCCTAAAACCTGATATCAAAGCGTCTGAAACAACTGTCTAGGAGTAGAAACCCTAAGAAAAAAGCAGTACCGTGTCGAAACCCTAATGGGACCTCCTTATTTCAATGTCTGGGCTTATTCTGTAACTCTTGATCCTAGGGATTGAGCCTGAAAAGTCACCTTTTTTTTATTAGGGTGTCTAATTATAGTAATTTATTCGGCAATTTCTCTAATTTGAGCAATTTCTCTCAGTCTTTGTCCTGAAGGAGGTCCCATTAGGAATGATCCATGGAATCGCCATTAATGGATCTAAAGACCTGTCCTTTTTATCAATTTATTGAAAGATTCAGTTTTATTGAAAAACGAGACCTTCATTATAAATTTAAACCCCTGCGTAAAGCTTGCGAGGCCTGCCAATACGTTTGATATGACTTTGATAACATCTATAGTAGTTATGTTTGGGGCAAGCTTTCTTCCCCTACTAGAAGTTCTACCTTCTTTTTTATCCGGCTGTCAAACTACCTTCTTTTTTATCCGGCTGTCAATTCTGAATGGAGGGTTAAGATTGTTCCAATCATAATGTCATATTTTCACATAGTTTTATTTTTTATTTTTTATTTTTTTCTATAAATTATTTTGATACTAAATTTTGGATTTTATTAAATTTGTACTGGCGAAAAATATAAAAAAAAATATTTTCAATTAAATAAAACAACCAAAATACCTCTGAAAGTTTAAAAGAGTATTTTGGCCATTATATTTTATTGAAAATTTATTTTTAATATTTTTTATAGGTGCGTCCCAATGAGAAGATGGCACGTACCCAATTTCATATCCATACAATTTGTATAAAAAAAAATTTAAAAATAAAATACTTTGAGACATTAGATCTAAGATCCAACGGCGGGTAGCTCTCTTGATCAAAATTGGATGGCTGGATAGTAGGGGAAGGATAGAACTTCTACGCTGTAGGGGAAGCATAGAAATCTTTTCTTTATGTTTGCACCAATCCCAAGCAAAAAAATTAATTTTTTTAACTAAAATACCCCTCATTTTAACCAGCGCTTCCAAAGTCTAATGCCAGTCCGACACAAAAATACGTCTGATTGGCTTCTGACAAAAAGTGTCGGTCCAATATAAAACGTGTCGAACTAGCTTCTGATATTCAAATTCTACTCGTCCAAGACAAAATGTGTCGAACCAACTTATATTGTAATTGTCAGTTTGGCTTTTATAACAAGTTGTGTTGGTCTAGTACATTTTGTGTTTGACCGCTTAGAAAGAGAAAATGCGAAATGTGGGTATGCCAAGAGAGTCTAATTTGAGGGATATCTATAATTTTTTCAAGTTTGGATTAAGTCGAAACTTTGTACCATTTGCTTTCTTTGGATGGTGCATATATTAAAAGGAATTGTACGCAATGTGGCAATTTATCTTATTAGAAGGACGTCACAATTACTCTAAATCATTCGATATCAAATTAGATGGCATGGGGTGTATCATGAAGTTCAATTTTTTTAATTTTTTTTTGAACTAACTAGTCAATGACACTCTTACAACCACCCAATTTAAAATCTAAAGGACTAGAGTAATTGTGACTTGCTTGTACCAAAAGTCAATAGCCTATTCGTAAGATGTGTCATTCTTCACCACTAGACAAGTCAAATCTATATTGTCCAATTAAAATAAATGGTGTTGAATCATATCAAAACAAGGGGTCTTTAGACTTAGACTAGTACCCCACCAGTTCTGAATTATCTAGGGCGATTCCAAGTCATCTCGCCAGTTTCTAAAGCGAGCCCCAAAGAATTTGAGAAAATGTGATGAGCATGTTATCATTTGGATTCCCTACATTATCCTCGTAGTTCACGGGCCATTGGATGTTACAATAGACAATTTAGCTATGTTAACATCTGATGGTAACGGCTACATTGTACTTTGAGGTCTCTAACAGTTGAGGAATGCTCAAATACTTAAGGAAGTCTAAATACTTAAGGAAGCCCAAATGGTAGCATAAATCATTATTCTTTTTCCAATTAATCGGGGCTGTCTATATGAATCTTGGTTCTCTATTCTGTTCTATTAAATGCCATATTCTCTTCATATCTTTTCAGACTACTTCTATCCACGTCCTTTTGGGCCTACGCCTTGCCCTTTTCAGTCCTTCTACTTGAACTAACTTGCACCTCTTAACAAGTGTTATACTTGGTCAGCACCACATATGGCCAATCCACCTAAGTCTATTCTCTCTTATTTTATCGCATATTGGTGCCACGCCTAATTCTCTTGAATAGATTCATTTTAGTAGCATAAATACAACCCAAAATGTAGTAGAAAAAGTTTATATAAGGTTATAGCTTTCTATTATAGAAGTAAGGTGCACATCAAAAAAAATCTAGTAGAAATGAGTATTCTAAAGTTCGGAAACCTTCCAATTGATCATCTCAAGCTTAATGTGTATGGATATAAAGAAATAAAAGAATTTCAAGTCCTAAAATAGTGCATATTACAACAAGGGTGCAGTTGGCATACGGATGCATCCGTAGCTGTAGAGGTGACGTGACCTTCAAATTTTATCATGGTATATAATTTTGATGTAAAATGTTTTTAAGATTATCTCAAAATCTATTTTTATATCTAATTATAAAATTCTAAATTTAAAAAATGATTAAAATCAAGTCGATCTACAAACATATGAAAATCTTGAAAATGGATGGTATAGATAATATGTTATAAAATGCACTATTTTCGAGACTTAAAATCTTTTTATTTTTCATGGTCATACATCTTGATGTCGAGATGATCAATCAAAGGGTTTTTCAACATTAAAACTACCTTTTCTGATGAATTTTTGAGGTGCATCCGTAGTTCTACATTATAAGGTTTCATCCTTATGTAAACTTTTTCCTTATAACAAACTATCTGGATTGTTTATTTTCAAAATTTTCGAGTGTTTATAAAGTTGTACAATCTGCACTATTTTTAAAATTTTAAATTTCATAATTAAAGTCGCATATGAAATTTCAAACATTCATCTTAAATTTTCGACATTTAAATTACATCAAAATTCAAAGGAATGACATACTTGTATGGTATAAAGCGGGCACCATATAGAAACCTCACCCAAATATAATATACAACTTGCATGCATATTATATGGTACTCTCAGAAGAGGTCATCTACTATCCGAACAATGTACAATGAAGATGTGGCATAGTACTAGTTGTTGGAAATTTGGTGGGTGAAATGGGAGTAGAAGATGGTATGATTTTGAATATTAGAAGCTCAAACTCTTCTTGTTTTCGGGCATACAGGAGCAATATCTCAAGACGATATTTACCCGCCTTCGATATTATATTTAATATGTATAAGAAGAGCAATTCGTCATCGGGACACCGGAAAACATAGAGGTCTTTTTGATGTTCCAAAGCTCTATGTACCCAAACTTGAAAGCCACATACTAGACATCACAGTCTTGATAGTTTAGAGAGAGAAAGAAACAAAATCGTCTGGAGAGAGAGGTTAACCCACTGGTTTTACACCCTGGAATTACAAATAATGGTGTTTGTAGAGAGGCCCCAAAGGTGTTTCCAATCTCTATTTTGTATGGGATAGATACCCTATTATATAGAACTACAAAAAGGCTGCACATTTACTGTAGTGGTGGTTACATGCACTACCAAAAGGTACAAGTTACATGCTGCCCCTTAATTGACGTGTAGTGGTGGTTACATGCACCATCAATGGCTACACGTTACATGCACTTTAAATCTCTTAATGAATGTTGTTATAGCCCGCTTATGTCTCCATTTCATCAACGGCTAGATGACTATTGGATCCACCATCAAGCAATTTGGGCCCACGCCCGCGCCCTTCCACACGCACGTGCACATGAGCATGCGTGTCACACACTTCGCGTGCTCTGCAAATGCATCATCTCTCTTATCTTTGTAGTAAGAATATAATGGATAGGAATACGTATTCTTAAATACAACTCCATAAACTCTCTCCCCTTCAATATGTGACTCAAACCTACATCCTACATCTGTCACTATCTACAAAGCAGTTTAGGAATAAACCACAAAGCCATATTATTGTTTTCAAATGCACACAAGTATTATTCAATCCAAAAAATACTAACACTAGCACTAAGCCCTTTCTTTTCCATAAGCATCTAGGACTTATCTCCACCATTCATGGATGAGAAGGACCGTATTGGTTAGCCCAAGTGCTCAGTACTACACACAAAACTTATGTAATAGGATTAAAAGCCATCGAAAAACTCGAACTGATGGGTCGAATCGATCACCCACCAATTCAGATTGAACCAGACGAGTCAATCATAGTTTTCTTAAAAAAAATGAATGACTTTGTGGAAACACCGAAGCAACGATCTTTTAAATGGTACAAAGATTCTAAGAAAATTTATCAAATCGGGAAGGAGTACCGGTCACGTATCAGATTGTCTATACTTATATCATTTATCATTATTACAAAGAGGTCACAATTACTCCTACTTATTAGATGTGAAATTGCATGGCTTTGGTTAGTCACGAACTCCGAGAATATATTTTTTGAACTTTTAGTTTTTTCAATGACACTCTTGCAACCACCCAAATTAAAATCTAAGGGGCAAGAATGATTGTGACTTCCTTATAAATAAAATAAATGGTCCCTTTGTATACTTTTTAAACTTTTTACTCATGGGCAAGCTTTCTATGTTTTCCTTAGAGCATAGAAGTTCTATCCTCCCCCTTATCCAACTGTCCATTCTGAATGGAGGGCTAAGATTGCCCTAATCACAATGTCAAGTCTCTACACTGTTTTATTTTTAATTTCTTTTTCTATAAACTATTTTGACACCAAATTTTGGATGTTCACTTCTTTATTAAACTTGCACTAGCGAAAAATATAAAATAAAATAAAATAACCAAAATACCCCTGAAAGTTTCAAGAGGTAT